GTGATATTCTAATTTTTGTTTGTTTTTCCCAAGGCTACTAAGGCTATCTTTCGCACCCGCCTCCAACTCTTTGGTTACTTTTTTACCAACGAATAGTGGGGTTGATCGTATCATTATAATACCTCCACGACTGATTCGGCGTCGAGTTTTGATCTCGCGACTTGCAGATTGCGAATCCAGCGCCCTAACCATCAGGCCAATGATATTCTGAAGGTGAAATATTTAGGAGGAGAATCTCTGTCAAGGTTAAATCCTCAAATTACTAACTAGTTTAGATACTATTCGCTTCCGGTGGGGTCCACATGTTGTAGTACGTTGCTTAATTTCATGTTTTCTTCTATTACAACATTCATTGTAAAGAACTGAGTAAACATTTTTAGCGGATCATTAATTTTCTATGTAAGATACAAAATAAATCACAGCTGTTGTTAGTGTAATTAACTGCAATACTGATGAAACTTTAACTTATACTTTTTAGCCGCGGCATAGCGGCTCATAGAACGGCTCTGAGCTTTTATTTTTCAAGTACAATCTTTTAGCTCGTAGCTCCGTCATCTCTTGACCGATTTGAGATCTAATTACAAGTTTTTGGACTCAGGTGTCAAACCCTTTCGATTGATGTATTTGACCACGCCCAAGGTCTCATGCATTAATTTACTCTAATCCTGCCTAAAAGGATTTCAATTTGAGAGTAGGCTGGTAGAGATCCTAATGAGTAATAAAATCGAATCGGGTACACGCGCACCCCACGCTTGGTATTGTTGGCGCACAAAAATATAGCTAATAAAAAGAGAGAGAGAGGAAAAAAAAAGGTATCATAGATTAATTTACTTTAATCCCGCCTAAAAGAATTTCAAGTGCCGCGACTATTGAAGATTCCCTCTTGTTACGTGAAGGAAATGTTATTAGGGACCCCGTAACTATCTAAGTTAAGGACCCATAAGTAAGTTGATGCATGAATTGCTTATAAAAATGTGTTTAAAAAGCCGATAAAGTTCACACGAACTTCATTGATAGTTCTAGGATTAAACTTGTATGTTTATGTCCATTCTTGACGGCTGAACTTGCGGCTGCGGGTCTCTTCACTTCACATAACACCTCACAGAAACTTACCAGAACCGAATCATAAATAGGCTTCTTATTACAGTTCCGTCAACGTCTATTCAGTTATCAAGATCATTTAACGACTTCCGGACTTCCTAGGTTCGTGAGTAGCCGTTCTAAGTAATGTTACAGATTCCTGCTATCGTAAGAAGTACCACCATAACGCGTACATTAAGAGAAACAGTGATTTATTCCACAAATCTTCGAACACTGATTTCATTCTTTGGGCTGAGGACGTTGCCGATAACATTTCTAAGTTATGTCCGTCTTATAAAAAAAAAAACTATAACTACACAACTTACGAACAAATCAATTAGATGATATTCCTAATCGTGCTTTCTATAAACAACTACACAACTGATTAGAAGAAGATCATCACAGGAAGTGATGTAAACGTTACATGAACTATAGTTTCACTTCTAACCAAAGGTCTACAGTTTGTTACATCTTCTAAAAGATTCAGTTCGTACCCAGACTCTGGAATGAAACAACTAGAAACAACACCTGAATCCTTTTCAGCTTTGGTGTAGTTGGTCTATACCCACCCATTCCTACATCAGAAGGGATTAAAATCATTATTGACTTCATTTCCTCCATCCTTTTCAGTTTTGGCGTAGTCCTCCTATATCCACCCATCCCTATATCAGAATGGATTAAAATCATTATTGACTTCATTTCCTCCACCCTTTTCAGTTTTGGGGTAGTCATCCTATATCCACCCATTCCTATATCAGAATGGATTAAAACATGATTGACTTTATTTCCTCCCTAAGGAACAGAAAATAACTCTGTGAGGTTTTTCTTACCACCTTTGGTGAAATACTTTAACATTTTCATCAGTTATTTCAGAGCTGAAGATAAGTAGACCGACAATCTAAGGGAGTAGCTTTAAGTAATAGAACAGCGGTACTTTGCGCTGAAATATTTAAAGACACTCTAGAAACAAGAACTTTAAAAAATGGTCAAAGACAACAGACATACTTTCAAAAATATGATATAGATATATATATGAACGATATTTTTGATATCTGAATCCATGGCTTACTATAACTATATTCCTTTTTATATAACTTCTTACCAAACATCAAATTCGCCTTAGAACTCTAGGAACAAAATAACTTAGCATTCTTAGACTTATTGTTTGCTTGTAGCTAAGCACAAAGCTACACTATGGGCTGTCTGTGCTATGCCCATCAAGGGGATCGAAACCGCAGACTTCCCGCTGTGCCACTTTGGGGCTTCTTAGACATAACTCTAGAACACAACACATACACCGGACCTCCCATTACAACAACCATAAAAAAAAAAACAACATTTCCACTCTTTGATTCTGATCACCCAAAACACATGAAATGAGAGCTGTAATTGGAGAAGAAAAAAAAAGAGCAAAGACAGAAATAGCCCCACCCTAGATGCCACTACAGAGGTCTGAAACTACAGAATGGATACCCTATATCCCTTGACCCAAAACCAGAAGAACAACAGTACTTACCAACAGTACAACATCACACAAAACCAGAAGAACAACAGCACTTACCAATAGCATAACATCACACAAAACCAAAAGAACAACGGCACTTACCAACAGTACAACATCACACAAAACGAGAAGAACAACAGCACTTACCAACAGTACAACATCACACAAAACCAGAAGAACAACAACACTTACCAATAGCATAACATCACACAAAACCAAAAGAACAACAACACTTACAAACAGTACAATATCAACCCCATGCAACAGCGAAACAATAACTGCAAAAATTAAGAAGACTGATCAAACAGTTTTTCACTCTCCATCAGAGTAATACAGACGTCTGCCTAAAAAAATCAGTTGGTCTACTCTGCTTTTACTACGCAGAAATGAGTAAGAATATTCGTTTCGTCAGATACATACGACGGATCTGGAAAAAAAAACGTACAGCCAAAACTATAATGTAATGCTTACGGAGAGACGTATAAATCGATGGATCAGAATGACCCCCACATACCCGAGTCAGGGAACACATCGACGCTCTAAAGAAATGGAAACTAATAAAATGTTCACCAATTGCACTCTATCTAAATAACAATAGTTTTTCATCCCAACAGCGAGTAAAACGAGAAATTTCAACAATATCAAAATTCTAGCAAAGACGAAATAATGTCAAAGAAAGAAGCTACTCCAAAGTAACCCTCATCAGGGAGAAACAGAGGATGCAAAGGAAGTTGAATATAATCGCCTTTATTCACTGAAGACAACATTTACAGCTTGCTATAGTACTAATTTATAGCCTGTTGTTCAAAATTTACAACTTGACGTAATTTTATTTATGTCTATATCCCTCGGAAAAGCAATGATCTATTTAACTAATAACTCTTCTAACAATACTTTTTTAACTTAAAAAATAGATTTTAAACAATACATAGGCTTGTTAACTGCAGATGTTTTTTTTTAGCCGCGGCATAGCGGCTCATAGAACGGCTCTGAGTTTTTCAAGTACAAACTTTTAGCTCATATCTCCGCCATCTCTTGACCGATTTGAGATATAATTACAGTCTTGGACTCAGGAGGTCAAACCCTTTTGATTGATATGTTTGACCACGCCCAAGGTCCCATAGATTAATTTACCCTAATCCTGCCTAAAAGAATTTCAAGTGCCGCAGCTAGTGGGGATTCCCTCTTGTTTCACATGCCTCTTAGTTCGTCCATTGCCGTTCTAAATCAGAGATGCATAGAAATAGCATTTCAGATATACTTGCGTTTATATAAATAGCGTTTCATAGAATCCTGCCCCCCAGTGGCACACTGGTATGTCTGCGGACTTACAACGCTAGAATCCGGGTTTCGATACTCGTGGTGGGCAGAGCACAGATAACCCATTGTGTAGCTTTGTGCTTAATTACAAACAAACATAGAATCCTTTGTCTCTCATCGTCCAGCCCAACTAATGAGTTCTGGTATTGAACGAAAACTTATTGGGCAGTAACTTGTGAAAGACTAAAACAGAACATGCTCGAGCCGTCAGCCGCGAGGGCTTTATAATGTGATGGTCACATCGACCCAATTTTCGTTGGTAAAGAGTAACCCAAGAGATGGCGGTGGATAGTGTTAGCTAGTTGTCTTCCATTTTTTAAATTAGTGGTAACTAGTGCAGACAGCCCTCGAGTAGCTTTGGGCTAAATTCAGTAAACACATAATATTTAGTTTGAAGTCAGTGGTCGTCAATTTACCAAAGCGTAACGTCTCAAAGTTTTTGTACTTATTTTTCAAGTTAAAAATGTATAATAATTAGGAAAGCCGGTTTCTTCTAAGTATACATTATTCTCAACCTTCATTGTAAAGGTATTGTGAAATGAGTAACATGCTTTATTTTCAGACAAGAAATAAGTAACATGCTTTATTTTCAGACAAGAAATAAGTAACATGCTTTATTTTCAGACACCAAATAAATAACATGCTTTATTTTCAGACTCGTAATAAGTAACATGGTTTATTTTCAGATACGAAATAAGTAACATGCTTTATTTTCAGACACGAAATAAGTAACATGCTTTATTCTCAGACACCAAATAAATAACATGCTTTATTTTCAGACACGTAATAAGTAACATGCTTTATTTTCAGACACGTAATAAGTAACATGTTTTATTTTCAGATACGAAATAAGTAACAAGTTTTATTTTCAGATACGATATAAGTAACATGCTTTATTTTCAGACACTTAATAACTAACAGGTTTTATTTTCAGACACAAAATATGCAACATGCTTTAGTTTCAGATACGAAATAACTAACAGGTTTTATTTTCAGACACGTAATAACTAACAGGTTTTATTTTCAGACACGTAATAACTAACAGGTTTTATTTTCAGACACAAAATATGCAACATGCTTTAGTTTCAGATACAAAATAATTTAGATGTTTTATTTTCAGACAGTAAAGATGTTACTTCTGGTTCTGATACTGTTCTCTTTGTGTTGGCTACCGATTCAAATCTTCAACTTGCTGGTTTACTTTGATCCTGAGTTCTTGATCTTCACCAACGATGACGAGTATTACAAGTTTGTTGGAACCTTCTTCTTTTGTCACTGGATATCCATGGCTAACAGCTTCGTTAACCCTATTATCTATTGCTTCATGAGTGAAAATTTTAGAGTAAGTAATCTTGTATGTCGTATCTACTAAAACCAAATCCAAGATAGTGTAAAGAAATAGTTGTGAAAATAATACACATTGTTATGGACAAACAATATCATTGACAAACAACTTCTCGTGCGTCCCAAATTTAATAAGATTTATCTCCTTTTACTAAATAACACAAAAACTACATTTCAAATTATTCAGATTAGTGAACAAATTGCATATATATATATATATATATATTGCATATATAACATCTACATATATATATATATATACCGTAAATGTTATGTATCGCGGTAGAAAATTAATATATATATATATATATAGTATTGTTATTACGAACTAAGTAGTAAGTAGTAAATAACGTAAACCGTTAAGGTAGTAAATTAAAAC